AAGCAAAATAAGAAGATGTGGAAGACCAAGGAGAGTACATGGAAGAAGAAGTTGGCCAAGAAAATGGAGAAAGAGGTGATATCAAGGATGCAGAAAGAGGTGGTATCAAGGATGCAGAAAGAGGTGCAGCAACAAATGCAACAACAACATATGCAAATGCAGCAGATGCATGCATACTTTGAGCTCATGAGAGTAAGCAGTTCCACACCTCTTCCTCCTTCCCCTCTAACTCCAGCACTGCTAGTATTTGGAGTGATGCAACATTTATGCTCCTCCTCCTCCTCTACTGATGATGATGACATTGCTTTGGTGATGATTATGCCGAGTACTCGTGATAGACATTGTTATTTTATTTCTCACATTATTACTTTGTATCTCTACTCCCAAACACTTCCAATAGTCGTCAAAAGTTAGCTAAGCGAAAAGCTTCCAAGTCTCTTATTATCGTTTGTATCCAGTGTGTAAGGCCTTTTATATAGAGTGTAGAATTCAAAAATAGAATGATTTGATCTTCAAAAGATATAATTTATCCTTAAAAAAGAATATGACTTATCTATAGAGAAATATATGATTTTCTATTGTCAAATTCAAATTTTAGATTTGCTCTCGCAGGGCCTAATTGTTTCTTAAATAGGATCTCAAAAACTTTTGAAAATTTCTTAATTTAAATATCCAAGAGTAAAGCACAGTCACGCTTACCCTCAAACATAATCATGTATGTTCACGAAGCACCACCATGTTGGCTGTTAAGCAAGGTCATGCTTCTTACTATATATGACTCTACTTTCTATCAATTTTCCTTCGATTATAACCAAAATGCTTCTATAATTTGCTAGCAATCGATTAATGCTAAACTACAATAATTAATAAAGAAATAAGTATAAAATCACCCATCAAATAAGGATCAAACAAATAAAAATAAGTTATAAAAGTACTGTAAAATATAAATTTATCAATTTCCATCTCTTTTTCTATATTTGGTAAACAACTAACAAAGGTAAAGGACCCATTCAGTTGCTTGCCTAGAAAGTGTTAGAATAACTACATGAATAGGAATTTTATGGAGTGCATGGACATGTGATGGTTGTACATGAATCATGATTGCAAAAAGTTTATAAGTTTTATTTCTTTTAGTGTTGTTTGTATCAATCTAGTTTTGGGATAAGTTGAATGAATGTGGAAATATTTGAGTAGGTGAGTTGATTGACGTTCCTTGCTTGTAAGTGGTCTAGTGTCCAATACAAATGCCAACGAATGTTGTCTTTCCTTATATTGCCTTGTATGTCATGATTTTGATCCTTGAAATAATGGGAAATGAAATATGTGATGATGTGAAGTTGTTGGAATAAATCCTTTAAAGAGGTAGAGGGAACTGAGGTAAAAGGGGAAATGATATGTTGAATAATTGGATTTATGACCTTAAAGAAGAGAGAGTAACTAAGAAGCACATAAAATAGGAATAACAGAGAAGTTGAAATTTTATAACAAAATTAGGACGAACCATTCAAAATAATTTAAGATATGTGTGGTACTAAATTAAGTGACATTTTGTTGCCTAGGTGTGACAAGAACTAAGACAAGAGTAAGGAAATATTAAAGGGAAAAGAGAACTTTAGGATGTATAAGTGCAAAATGAACTAATGACTATTAGGACAATACCAAACTCTAAATTATAGTTAAAACTCCATTGAGACTAATTAATTAACTATCTCATTAAGGTTAGTAAATAAAGTAATTAAGGATTTAGTAAAGTGATTAGAAATATTTATGTTGTAAGCTTTAGATTGCTAGGCTAAGCTAGAGTAATGAAGCACCAAGGAAAAATGAGAATAATAGGCCTTGAACTAATGAGAAAATGTGTACAAGGATAAAATAAAATACTACATAGGAAATTGATTAGCATCAGGACTCAGGGATTTATTGACAAAGAAAATGTACCAATGTGAGAAAAAGAAAAAGACTTCAGTATGTATAAGTTGTGAAGTGAGAGGATAATGTTTGAGTGGAGATGTGGTGATAATTGTGTAAGTAAGAATGAATTAAATGATTGTCATGCATTATGAACATGTGAAAGAAGGAGTTGTCAAGGCTATAGTTCATGTTGACATGTCACCATTTGAGAGTTTCGTACTGTATATGGTAAAACCAACATTTAATTTTGTCAATCATATTGTGAAATAATGTTTATGCTGACACATGTCATAATTTAGTTATTTCACATTTTTTTTGGTAAAATTTATTTTAAAAAATAAAAATTCAATATTTTTGCCAATCATTTTATCAAAACTAGTGTCACGTGGATTGACACACTCCAGACGAGGCAAGTGTACCTATCGAGAAGTAATAAAGGGTTTTTAAATTAAGTTTCCAAAATATCGTCCTACAAGGATTGATTTCCAATTACTAAGAATTTTCTAATTCAATTGTTTAAGCTTCAAAGATACGAGATTAATTAAAAACAAGAATTTATAAAATCAATTATAAAACTAAGAGCAAGGAATACAGTGCACGTCTTGGTTAAACTTATAAGAGAGGAACCTAGGCATATGAGTTTTCTCATTCAATCCTTTATGTTATTTTTATGTTTAACTCTAAATCCGATTTCCTTGTGATTACCAATCATTTATACGAATACTATTAATACCCAATGGTCATGTAATATTAATATTCCTTTCTCTAAATTAACATCCCCAATGGTCATGGAAGACATCAATTTGAGAAAGCTTAAGGAACCTATGGACTTGTTAATTTAATAACGAATAGAAGAGAAAGATTGGTTTGGTCCACCTAATCCTTTGTCTCGTTTTATCCTATAGATCTATTAATTAACCGAGGTACGGTCTCCTGACGATATAATTAATTAGGATTAAGAGAGAAGCACAATCAGATAAAATCTAATCACGAAACGAAAATCAAATTTAGATTTAAACGTCAAAACCCCATAAATTCATGAACAATAGTTCACATGGCCCTAGCTATGGACTTAGTTACTCATGTTAAAGAAAAGAACTAAAATAGTCATAAACAAAGACATAAAGAAAAACAAACTAGAATGAGATGAGTTTCTGGTCTTCAAGTACAATTGCTCGAAGCTCCAAGTCTCGCCAAACATGTGCCAAGGATCCCATGCAAGAGAAAAGAGACGAAAAGTGTATCTGAGAACCAAAGATTAGATGTAAAAACGGTCTCATTTACGATGCCTGAGATCTCCTTTAGATAGGATTTGAAAACCCTAAAGACTCTTGATAATTAGACTTCTCGCAGATGAGTACGGCCGTGCAAAGCCTTAAGCACGACTGTACATGGGCTCGAAGTACCCCGTGCTTGTTGAAAAGGTCTGGACGTGATGACTGCTATGAAACTCTAATCTTCTATCAATTTAGGTCCAAAATACATCTAAAGTACACTTGCGGCATCTTTATACCAAACTACATAATTAATATATAAATTAGTGTGAACACCAAATAAAATAAAGATCAAATATAAATATATAGGTTGTAAAATAGAGCCTAATTTCGTATTTATGAAATAATAATTTCAAAAAATAATAAATTAAAAATTTATTTTTAATTTTATAATATTTAAATATAAAAGCCAAATAACTATTTTGTTTAAAAAGAATAAGGTATGCAATAATATGTTCGGCCAGCTAGATGGGATGTGAGCAGGTGTTGTGTTTCTCGTAGATGGTGACCCACCAATAAACTTCTCTTGCCAACTGCGAACACACTGCAACAGTTGCAGTCAGCATTATTCACACACAGCTTCACGTTCCCACATACCAACGCTGAATCAAACATTGTGTTTAATTAAAGCCTGAGTTTCTTGTCCTGTAATAGGCCTCATGTCATAACCCTGCACCTCTTTCTCAGCCCTTGGATCCCCTGACACACACATTCATGCTCTCCATACACAGTTATTATAAAATAAAAAGGAGTACTTGCAGATGCCTTTACAATCTAACTAGAATCGTAAGATACTGATTAAAAATTTCAATCATTTTTTATTAAAATATTATTAAATGTATGTTTATCATAATTTTAATATGTTTTCCTTCACAAATATTTTAAAAATACTAATTAATAAGACCCTTAAAATACAATTACAAAAAATATTGTTTAAAAAAGTATTACTATTATATTTTAATATGATTCCTAATTTAAGATTATTATGTTTTAAATTAGTAATTTTAATCTAACACTTATTTAACATTGAAAAAATTATTTTTTATATTTTTCATAAAAATACATGTCTCAATATAAATTTATAATTAAACTAATTTATAAATATATTTTTATTATATTTAATCTTATTGAAATTAATAGCTAAAAGTAATTTTTATTAAAATGAATTTTTTACTAATATATATTTCAGGTAAAAGCTAATAATATAATTTTTGGTAATTTTATTGTTGATTATTTCAATAAGTGTTCAAAAGATATTAATTGACAAGATTTAACTTATTTTTATTCTTATTTATCTGTTTAGAAATAAAATTTATATGAAAATTTAAGATAAAATAGAATATTATTTTTTACTAATAGTTTTTTATACATATATTAATTATAATAGTAATAATAAATATAATGTTTATAATATTTAAATAATCTAAAAAATTATAAAAATGTTGTGTAATAAAAACAAATTAAACATAATTAAATAGTGTTAGCAAAAATAATTAAATTTTTTAATATACTTTCTAACTTTTTAATTCTCTATACCTTTTTTGAATCCTTGGAGAGAGGACCCATACAAAATCTAAGTCACCCTTTGGGTTTTGACCACGACAAGAGCTAAAGCCTCTCTCTTCACCTCACATCACACAATTCACAACACAACACGACACTTCATAGTTCAGTTCCCTCTGCTCTCTCCCTCTTCCAAAGGGACCCAAAAGTTGCAAACTTTCTTTCGTTTCTCCCTCGAAGATTCCAAGTTTTCTCGCCCCTTTAGATTGTTCTTCTGTTCTGGGTCTCTTTGTATGGTGGAACTAGAGGCAGTGTTTTCTTGTGTGGAGTTAGTGGCTTATCCGACGAAGCTTTAATGGCTTTGCTTCTACTTTGTTACCTGCTTGCAATATCTGTGTCTGCTTATGGAGGTAAGTGGTTTTCTTCTCTTCATTCTGCATTTCCCTTCTATGCTTTTTCAGTTTCTATTTCTATGTTCATTTTGGTATCCCATGGCGTTTTGGTTATTAATCTATCTATTTATTTTGTTTAAGGGGTTTTCCATTTCATAATGACAAATGGGTTTCGTACCTTAGAATTCTTTAGCTTGTATTTTTTTTTGTTTTTTACCTCATTATGTTGACTTCGTCCTTTTATCATTGTACCCACTTCACCCTTGAAAGCTGTAGTTTTTGTCCTGCCCAAGATTCTTCATGTGGATATAGATTTTTTTTTTGTTCGTAACTTTGTTAAAAGTGACATTGTTTTACATGGTTAATGTTTGATCCTCTGGTGGTTATTGTATCATTATTTTGGGCACGATGGGTACTTGTATGGGTTTTAATAATGTTATTTGATTGCACTAGTAATTAGTAATTGATGTGCTTGTGTTTAGAAGAAAGGATGTATAAGATTGGGGTTAACCAGTGAAACTGAGGGGAACGAACCTTGCTCGTTGAGAATGGTGGTGCTATAAAATGAATAATTCTAAATCTTTCAATTTTTGTTCCTACAAATTCTCTTAATTACTCGACAAAGAAATTATTTACTATATTTTATATTTTTAATATAACAATATATAAACATTATCATTTAATACTTATTTTATCAAATAATAAAAAGATTACTAAGAGAATACAGCAAAGCTCTAAATATATACATCGATATTTTAGTGTCTAGCTAAGCTACTCTAGAGCGAGGGTACACAGTACACTGATAAAATCTGTAGTGTAGTTATGAGAATGGTTAAAATTTTAACAAGTTCATAATTCAATTTTTTATATGTGGAAAATATAGAAATGCTCTCACTCATATTATTTATGCATTCCAACATAATTTCACATGAGACTTCATTTTGATTATTTAATCAGTGACTTGTATATAATTATATATTATAATATAAGTTTAATCGTTAGTGTTTAATTAATAATTTTACGTACACTATCTTTTAAGGGTATAATTAAAATACGTTAAAAATTTTATAAATGTAAATTTAACGTAAAAGTTATAGCTAAATATGAATCTAATTTAAAAAGAAATCCAAAAATAATACAAGTATATGACATTTTAAGCAATTTTTTTATTTCTTTTGCTTAAAGGTAAGGTTTTGTAAGAAAATATTTTTCTACGTGCAGAATCTCCGCTCTGTACTTCCTGTTTTTTAGTGGGATTTTGGGAATAATGTTATTGCGTCCCAGCTCATCAGACAGTTCCTTTGTAGTTTGCACTTAACTACATTTTTGTTTAAAAAAAGATTTCAAAGGACTAAAATACCCTTGCTCGAGAATGCCGATGGTGGAAAATATAATCAATTGGGTGTCAATTAGAGCAAGTTAGTGACATTTTGACCAATTGGCCTTACTTCCTTGAGATTTGATAATCTAAGTACATCATTCTAATCTCTCTTCTTTTATCATGGAAAATGTAAATTAAATATTCATTTTATAATGTTAAACATGATAATCTAAGTGAATTTTTTGCAAATGTAATGTAATATGGGTGCTTTTTATACCTAAGTGTATACCCAACCAATCAGCCATCCTTTGAGTATGTTACACTCATCTTGTATCGTACAAATAAGACGCAATAAACACGTAAAATAACTTGGATTTTTTCATGATTTATGATAAGATTTTTAACTAATGAGGTTATTATTGCATGTCTCTTGCTGATTTGTGTTTCACACTAGCAAGCTGAGCAATTTCAACATCTATCCTCCCCTTGTTCTTTTGTTATTATAGTATCCTTTCCAAGCTACACTAAAATAATCCTTGTGTTAGAACTACGTGCAATTAAGCTATCCAGCTAATTAGCTTCTTCCAAGTATGGTATATTCCAGAATTTGGACTATCTACAAAAGTAGAGAGTTATAATACTCTTACTCATGTATATATTTTCATGCATTATATTTTGTAACGTAGTTATTATATTTATGATTATAAGACTGTGGAACGATGTAATTTTTCAATATTCTCTTCTAGCTGTCTCACTTGAGGAGTTGAACACTGTAGCTAAATGTAGTAACAAGTGGAAAGGTATATTGACTTGGATTGTAACATAAGTGAGCAATTCTCCTTTTCTTGAATCATAATATTCTCCAAAACTGTGTACACATCCTTAGATTTTAATGTTTTCATATTTTTGAGACACAAATAACCCATAGGTAGCCAGTTGATTTTGTCATTGATTACTGTAAAAAATACAACCCTGAGTATCGTTCTATTAGATGTCCCTTTTTTTCTTACTTTTTGGTATAAAATTATTATCCTTCGTGACTGAAGTATTCTTACTGCTGGAAAAACAAAGTAAAACCACGAGGTAGGCTCAGTTGCCAAATTAGTCTTATGTGGGTGAACTTGCGGCAATCCATGGGGATAGAAACAAGTATTTTTTTAATTACCAAATTGGTTATATCTATAGAAAGACTTGTTATGTTTTTGGCATTTCTATGGATTCATTTCCTGCGGATGTGTCTTCTTAAGAAATGATGTTCTTTCATTATTATTCATTGCTAACAAAGTAATTAATTGAATTTTTTTATTTTTCAAAAAATGTTCTTTTCTTTATCCAATAAAGATGCTGCATATAATAAACTATTTTGTTTCCATGTTAATATTGCAAATTAACAAATCATGGTAGAAAAAATTAAGACATTGAATACTTTAGTCTTCAAACTTTAATTTTTGTTTTGATTTGGGCATCTAATTCTTTTTATTTATGTTAGTCCTTTATTTTTTGTATAATTTTAATTTGGTCTTATTTGTCAAGGGATGAAAATAGGCCAAACTATTCTATTCAAAGTCTAGCATGAATTGACCTATTTAAACAATAGGCTTAATTTAAACTTTTTAAAAAGTTTAATTAATTGAATAGGTTAGGCTTGAGGTTAAGAAAAAGCTGTAATACATGATGGATGACCTATTTAGGACTCATAAAATTTATAGTTATATATTAAATAATTATATATAAATTATAATATAATATTATATTAAATAAATTAAATTTTAAAATGAATAAAATCTTAAATTAGAAACTCTAATTTTTTTTTCTTGGAGAGAAAAGTGTCTCTACTACTCCTTTGAAAAAAGAACATTGTTTGCTGGAGTCTTTTGCTTTACGTTATTGTAACTTAATTTATCTTATATGCATAACACTGATATACATTTGTGTTGTCTCAATTACATTTATTACTAGTTTAACTCATCCATCATCTTCTTTAATTGTGCATGAGTGTGTGTGTGTATATATATATATATATATGAAATATGTGATTTGAAAGTAATAAATAGGAATATATAATTTTATTATAAATGTTTAAGATGTTGAATCATTTTATGACTTATTTAGATATAAACTTTATGACTATTATTGAGACATCTATAGATGGTTTGATAATTTATTTATAAAAAGACTTAATGACCTATCTTAAGATGAAGTAGGCCATTGAAATAGCTAATAAGCCAAATTAGATTCTTAAAAGGGTTAGGCTAGACTTAATAAAAAGTCTAAGTCAAACTTCAAAATTATTAAATAAGTCAAGCGTAGCCTATTCACATCTCTATTTGTTAGTTATGGCAGTATTTTATTACCACAAATTATGATTTTGTTTATTTATTGTGGTGGTTTTCATTGCAATAATTGACAAATAGGATGAAAATGAAATCAAATAAAATGATAAAAAACTTAAAATAAAAAAAATTTAGAGAATCAAATAAAAAATAAAGTTAGAGGAGGAAAATACTAATTTTGTTAAATATTATTTTGTATCTCAGCTTATTGTACCAATTGCCCTTTTATTTTGTTTGTGAAGGTTAATTTTAGGCTGTAGCATCTGTTTGTTGAAAAATTAGTGCAAATTTCACAGCATGTCTTAAATTTTTCTCAAGGATTTATGCCTAACTGATCTTATTAGTAATTGAAGATCAACAAGTTACATGGGGTTATGTCCTTAAAAAGCAACACTATCATTGAAGAGCAGGAAAAAAAATCCTCTATTCCTTTTACACATTTAGACCTGCTGTAACATGTAGACAAACTCAATTTTCTTCATCTTCTACTTCTACATCTTTTGGATGGTTGCTGCATATGTATTGCTTTTTATACTTCTCATTCAAAGCTTTATTTAACTTTTACACATTGTTCTGAAGAGGGAAGGTTTATATCTGTTGGAAGTGAATTGTCAAGAGTCCTTTATTTGTTGGTGCTTTTCTCTGCAGATGCGTATATCGGTGTCAACATTGGCACAGATGTCACTAACATGCCAAGTCCAACAGAGATTGTAGCCCTTCTTAAGGCTCAAAGTATCCAACATGTGAGACTCTATGATGCCGACAGAGCCATGCTTCGTGCACTTGCCAACACAGGAATCCGTGTGATTGTTTCTGTTCCTAACGATGAACTACTCGGCATTGGTCAGTCCAATGCCACTGCAGCAAACTGGGTTACACGCAATGTCATAGCTCATGTTCCTGCTACCAACATTACTGCCATAGCTGTTGGATCCGAAGTCTTAACTTCCCTCCCAAACGCTGCACCAGTCCTAGTCTCAGCTCTAAAATTTATTCAAGCGGCTCTTGTTGCGGCTAATCTGGATCAACAAATTAAAGTATCTACTCCACACTCTTCTTCTGTAATCCTTGACTCATTTCCACCTTCTCAGGCATTTTTCAATAGAACTTGGGATCCTGTCATGGTTCCCTTGCTTAAATTTTTGCAATCAACAGGTTCATATCTTATGCTCAATGTATACCCTTATTATGATTACATGCAATCCAACAGTGTAATCCCTCTGGATTATGCTTTGTTCCGTCCCTTGCCTCCAAATAAGGAAGCTATTGATTCCAATACCCTTCTGCATTATACTAATGTTTTTGATGCAGTTGTTGATGCAGCTTATTTTTCAATGTCATATTTGAAGTTTACCAATATCCCTATTTTAGTCACTGAGTCAGGATGGCCTTCCAAAGGTGACTCGACTGAGCCAGATGCAACTCTTGATAATGCTAACACTTACAATAGTAACTTGATCAGGCATGTTCTTAACAATAGTGGGACTCCTAAGCAACCTGGAATCGGAATTAGTACGTATATTTATGAGCTTTATAATGAAGACTTGAGATCAGGTCCAGTGTCTGAAAATAATTGGGGGCTGTTTTATGCTAATGGGGCACCAGTGTATACCTTTCACTTATCTGGTTCTGGTACTGTATTTGCAAATGATACAACAAACCAAACCTTTTGTGTTGCTAAGAGTAGTGCTGATACTAAGATGGTTCAGGCAGCACTTGATTGGGCTTGCGGACCGGGAAAGGTGGATTGTTCGCCTTTGCTGCAGGGTCAACCATGTTATGAACCAAATAATGTAGTTGCACATGCTACTTATGCTATCAATTCATATTATCAGCAGATGGCTAAATCTACTGGGACCTGTGATTTCAAAGGAGTTGCTTCTATCACCACTACAGACCCAAGTAAGGAGTTTTTGCATACTCATAAATCATATCGCTCGAAAAGTGTGAATACATTTATTAAAGAAATTAGAACAGTATAGCTAGGGACATACTACAAAACTGGATTTTACAATGAAGAGTGCTAGGAACTCACTAAATTATTGGCTAATATTTATTAGAAACTACAAAAGTATGAGATAGAATCATTAAATTAAGAGTAGGATCCACCTTTTTTTGTCAGTTTTGATATATTTTAGTTAATAACTAGGATTGTGTTAGTCAATGTGTTACTAGCATTTCTCTCTTACAATTTGCACCCTTGCACATGTAACACATAGTTAGATTTGACTATAATAGATGTACAAGCAGTGTCGTATGGCCATTTTGCCTGCTTTTTCTTTTTACCTTTTGGAAGATTTTTGTGCGCTTTTGGCGATAATTACATTAGCCATTAACTATGCATTAACAAATTATGCTCCTGTAGTGATTGCATTCTTTTACTACATTTGGATCAAGATTAAGTATCTTAAAATTGTGAATTATTATTTTTCCATTATTACTTGTTGGGTATTTTTTGCAGCTTTACTCTTTATTGGTCATTTTCTTTTTGATTATTCTGTTACACCTTAGGAAAAGCCTTGCATTCGCAATTTTCATATTCAAGTTGCTTAGAATTTTGACTGATATTTATTGTATTATCATTGTTACAGGTCATGGTTCCTGTATATTTCCAGGAAGGTATAATTTCAATATTATGTTGATATATATATATATATATATATATATATATACACCTGATGTCATCTTTTTTATTATATGTTCTAGTATGCTAGTATCCATGTTTTAATTTGCCTGACATTAATAATGTCTTTTTCTCAATTCTCATCTCACCACCCACTAAAAGCTGACAATTTTCCCCTCCTCTTTATATTTTTGTTGTACAGTGGTGGTAAAAATGTTACAAATATAAATGGCACAGCATTGGCTCCATCGATCAATTCCACAAATTCAGGATGCTTGTCACAATATTACAGTGGTGGATTTATTACAAGTTATGTGATTCTTACTTTACTTTTGAGTGCAGTTATCTTGTAAAACTAGAATGACACGCTCTTCAACTACCTTTAAAAGGATTGCAGCATACCCAATTTTGTGCTTCTCATTAGGGCATTCAAAGGGTGGCAAGATTGGTCAAAATGTATATTGCCATTTGTAACGTGAGTTCATTATAATTTTTGTACAAACGAACCAGAAGAATTTATTTAAATTGTTGATGTAATTACCTTATTAGGGCTAATATTTTCTTATAACAATTTAATCAGAAAATCCATTAAAGTGTTCTGGACTAGTTTATCTTTCGAAATAGTTTTGGTAACTTTCTTATGGAGCTATTAGACAATTACCTTTTTTTTTTTTTTTTTTTTTTCATGCACATGAAAATCAATAGTTTACCAAATCTGTGACACATTCATGATGCCTCCATTTTAATTAAATAGCCTTGATTTCACAACTTACATAAGTTCATTCAAGAGTACAAGTATTACTAGCAATTCTAAGTTACAGTTACTATAGCTTTGTAAGTTTATTACTATTAACTATTGAAAATTAACGCTGCACTAGAAATAACTGCAAAAAAAACATTCAGCAAATAGGTGTATAATTTACTTATATCTTATTTTCTCTTCTCTTATTTAGAATAGAGAGCAAGGTGAAACAAAAGAAAAAAGGCGAAGTTCTCTACTTGAAAATAATTCTTGTTATTGAAAAGAATTCTCCAAAGGAGTTTATATTACAAGAGGAAAAGAAAATTGATCTAACAAACTAACTTGGTTAGCAAAAATTGAATACAATGGAATAAATCTTTATTAGCTAACAAAATAATAGAAAAATTCTAATAGAATAAATAGTGACTTAATATTCCCCCTCAATTGGAGCAAAAATGTTGATGAGGCCCAACTTAAGAAAATTGTGATGGAAAGCTTGTGGGAGCAGACAAAAAAGATCATCAAGTTGATTGGAGGTAGACACATGAAAAAGGTGTATAAGACCATATTAGAATTGATCGCAAGTGACATGACAATCTACATCGATATGTTTGGTGCGCTTGGAATGTTGGATTCTTAGCAATGTAGATGGCAGCGGACTTGCTATCACAATACACAGGGAATGGCGTAGTAACGTTCAGCTGTAAGTCATCACATAAAAAATTGAGTCATTGTAATTCAGAGGTCAACGAGGCCAGTGCACGATACTCAGCTTCAGATAAGGAATCAGAAACACTGGATTGTTTCTTTGACTTACAAGAAATGAGACCAGAGCCAAAGAAAACACAAAACTCAGTCACAGAATGTCTAGTGTTGATCTCGCCTGCTCAATCAGAATCGGAAAAGGCTGTAATATGAGAAAAGGTTTCAGAGGAATAAAACAAGTCAACGCCAGGACAACCCTTAAGGTATCGAACAACCCGTGTAGCAGCCTCAAAGTGGTGAATGTGGGGAGTAGCCATGAATTGACTTAATTGTTAAACTGCGAAGGATATATCCAGGAGAGTATTTGTGAGATAGAGTAGTCTTCCAATTAGGCAACGATAAGAAGAAGGATCTGAATGTAGATCACCCTGATCAACATTGAGCTTCATGGAAGGGTCAATGGGGAGGAGACTGGTTTACAACCAGATAGCCCACATTCTTCAATAAGCTCTAAACAATATTTTCTCTAGTTTAAGGAGAATTCCAGAAGTAGAGCCGGCTATTTCGAGATCAAGAAAAAATCTCAAAGAAACCAATCACGTGGAGCTGCCACAACAATAACAAATATAACTGTAGTAAGCTTAGCAACTGAAGAGAAGGTCTCAAAGTAGTTAACACCCTCTATTTAGGTAAAACTCTCGGCCACCAATCAGACTTTATATCGTTCAATGGACCCATCAGCCTTGTGCTTAATTTTGTAGACCCATCTACATCCAATTGGATGTTTTTCAAGAGAAAGTTTGACCAAGGACCATGTATTTGTGGTTGTCAAGGCAGTAAGTTCAGTAGCCATGGCCTCCTTCTAGCAGTCTAATTGAGAAGCTTCTTGGAAAGATAAAGGTTCAGCTTGAACAGATATGGAATTACAAAAAGAAACAAAAGAAGGTGAGCATTTTGAATAAAAAAATAAGAAGATAAAGGATAAAGACAAGTGGAATTTTCGGGATGGGTATAAGGTAGTTGAGAGACATTATTGCCACAAAAATAGTCCTGCAAATACAAAGGAGTTTTCTTTTGCCTTGTAGAGAAACGTGTGTTAGGAACTGGATTCTCAATTTGTGGTACCATGAGCATGTTGTTGTTTATAGGTGAATTGTTAGTTTCATTTATCAAGGGTTGACCTTGACAAATAAGTTGAAAAGGTGATAGAAGTTCATCAAAGAAGGATGCATCACAGATTAGGATAGCATTGGGATTTGAATTAACTTGTATATCTTTTACATTATTTGAATAGTGAAATGGGAAAATATTTTCACAAAAGTCAATATTTCTAAAGAGGAAAGTGGTACTGGTATGCAGGCTATAAAGTAGATAATCTTTGGTTCTAGTCTTATACCCGAGGAAAACACATTTAGAAGCTCTTTTGTCCAATTTTGTCCTACTCGAGGTGATGGTACAAGCATAGGCCAAGCACCCAAAAGTTCTAAGACATGACAAATCAAGTTTTTCAAGATAAACATTTTCAAAGGTGAGGCAAAAGCAAGTGTGTAACGCTTCAAATTTTGTAATATTATTTTGATTATTAATGTAAGTATATGAGTTGTTATTTGGGTATGCATTTTGATTCATGTTGGTGATGAGGATATGAATGTATATGACTATATATAAGTGTATATGTATGTTACGATTTAAAATGTGGATTTTTACCTGTGGTTGGATTGAAAATGCATGAGTGTAGGCTAAGGTTGTACTGCAAGGGCATTCTTGCTATAGTGATAGCATTTTTGCTGTAACGAGAAGATTCTAGGCAAGTTGGCATGTGTCTGTTACGTTCTCGCTGTAGTGAGAAGGCAACAGAGAATGATAGTTTTCTGAGCTTAGTCTTGTTGTAGTGAGAGATGCTTCGCTGCAATGAGAGATGTTTCGCTGTAGCAAGAATATCGCGCCTTCTGGGGTATTTGAGGGGTGTAGGGTTCAGAAAACGCATTTCTCACTCTTTCCCTTCACCTCCCTTAAATTCTCTTAATTCCTAACCCTATTTCACTTATTAAATTGCTTCCAAAGCCATGTGTGCCCTAGATTGAAGGTTGGGATTGTGTTTTGGAGACGTTTAGAGGTAAGTTTCATGAGTTAGGACAAAAATCTGTATAGGGACCAATTCTATCATCTATTTCTTTGTGTTTAATGTTGGTTTGTATTGTCATGTGTTGAAATGTAATTGAGATAGAATGTGAGAATATGTGTGTTTGATGAAAATTTCGTGCTGAGCATGATGTGATAGACATTGAGTATAATATGGTTAAATATGTGTAAACGTGTCATTGGTTGAAAATGAATACTATGAAATAATTGAGAATGTGGATGAATATGTGTGAGTAGCATGTTGATTGTGATTGTGACGCTTTTGAAATGGTTGGAACTATGAATGGTTACAACGACAAACTGGGGTGTGGAAGATGGGGGCGGTAGAAATACATTTATAAGACTATGAGTCACCCTTATATTTATTTTTAAGTGACCAAGACGATCAACATCAAGCTGAGTGAAGGGATAGATGATATTGCTATAGAACTTAGAAAATTATTTTAAAACTTGTGTTGTATTAGATAGGTCCTATAGCATTTATTTTGATTTCAAACTTGTAACCCATCCCATATTTTGTAATACTTTATTGAAACGATGTATTTGAAGTTATTTGAAAGAAAATTTCATTATTATCTTTTTTCTAATTTGTGAAAATATAATTTATTCGAAACTGGTTATTTGAAATTAATTAAGGTGTTACAAAGTGTAGACGTAGGGAGCCTATTGATAATATGGACATGTCTTAAAGCAAAAGACCATAAACAAGTGGGTAATTTAGCATGGAACATGAATGCTCAGCCAATATTTAATATATGTTGTTTCCTCTTTACCACCCTATTATGTTAAGGGGTTTCAATGCATGTGGTTTCATGAATGATCCCTTTATTTGAAAAATATTCATACAGTAAAAACTCCTTGCCATTGTCACCTTTTAATTTTATTTTTTTAATTTTGTATCCAATTGGTTTTCAATGGTGTTAATGAAAGCTTGCAATATGGTCCTTGTGTCACTTTTGGATTTCATAAGTTGAATCCAAGTGAAACGAGCATGGTCATCCACAATGGTCAGAAAATATTTGTGACCTTCAATAGATAGGGTACCTAAAGGACCCTAAATATCCACACGAATAAATTAAAAAAAAATATGTGTGGTAACAGAAGTGCTGGACGAATAAGAAAGTTTATGTTGCTTTGTAAAAATGACACACATCGCAAGCATTTAATTCATGCAAAGGAATGTAACATTATTGTAATGCTATCTGTTTCATTATTTTATTTGAGACGTGTCCCAATCTGTTATGCCAAGTATGAACTGAACTTGTATGAGTATTACTAACAAAGGAAGGATGTTTAAGAACAACAACATGAGCTCAGGAATCCAACAGACTCAAGTTCCTTGAAGGCTCTAGGTAGGAAAGGCCATGTCTCTCTCTAGCTGTACCAATCCTCCTCAAAAGATGTGTCTAAAAAATGTTACAAACAGAGTCAGAGAACACTATTACGCAATTAAGGGACATGGTAAAATTTGGTACATATAAGACATCCTTGAGGATTATATCAAATATATGCATTGAACCAGAAAAAATGGCACAAACAAAATCATTATTTGGAAGTGTAACCGAGATTGGATCTATTTTCTTTAGGGAAGAAAATAGTGACTTATTTGGGCAAATGTGTTCATTTGCTCCCATGTCAAAAATACACATGGAATGAGAGTTACCTTGATTTTTGATGTTTGAGGATTGAACATGATGTATAGAATGAAACTTAGACTGCTGCAAGAGTGTCATGATGCCTTCATACTACTCTTGAGAAAAGGTTAATTGATCCTGATTGTTTTGTGGTCTCACATTCTCAAGGTTAACATCATCTTGAGATG